CAAAATCCAGACTTAACCCCAGTGCCTCTGTCAGAGCATGCTTCCACTTCAGGATTTTGCCTACCCAGTTTACAAGGCTCTCATACGTCCATCCTGCCATGACTCATTCCCAGTTTCAGCCAGGCTTTTGTGCCGTCAGGAGAAGATTCAGATTAAAAAGTAACCCTCAAAAAACAAAAGGTTGCTCATGTTTCTAATCTCAATCATTCTTTTAGTACAATTTGGACTACAAACAGGTGAATTAGTAGCAATGAGATAGCAGCAGATTTTGGCAGGGCAGGGGAACCAGTGCCGGAGAAGGGGGAAACACCCCTTAACCCAGCTTTGATGCCAGAGAAGCTGGCCCCTTGGTAAGGCAACTCAGTGCTTTTTTAAGCTTCAGTTCTGGCAGTTAATGGGCAACGTGCATACTGGTGCAGCATTCAGCCTCACCGAGGCGGAGATCAATCATTATTAGCGTTTTGTGTGCCACTGTGTTAAAAAGGGATTAATAAAATTAATTACCCCTAAAATGAGACCTTCTACAGAGAAGGCTAGAACTTCACTGCCTGTAAAGGGTACTTTATTCAGAGGGAGATTTTACTCAAGTATCAAACACACACAGAGACATACGACCGTCAGTAAAAACAAACAAACAAACAAACAAAAAAAAGAGACCCACAGCGTACTATTATTCTGTGCTTTCATAAATGGGTAAAACTGCAAGAGGACGAACCAAAACCTTGTTCTCAGTCATTCCTCTTACTTTCTCCTACAGAAAAAGTCAATTTGAATACCCAAACCTTATCATGATAAGTTCAAAACCTCACACGATTTTAGTGTAAAATTGAACATATCCCGTAATCTTTAAACAATAAAAGCAGGCAGCAGCAATTAAGCCAAGGAAATAGAAAGTTGGCCTGTGACTCCAGTGAAAGGGAGGTCACTTCACTGCCCTCCCACAGGCTCTGGGGCTACTTTAAATCCCTTCATTCCTCTCTGCTTTAGTCTTGCCAGGTGGGAGAGGAGCCAATTTTAAGCCTAGGGTGCCCCTTTGTAAAAGCTTCTTGCTTGAACAACCACTTAGCAGGGGAAAGGATGCTGCTTTTATATTTCTTTTTTTCTGAGATTTTAAAATCATAGAATGATTGGTACTAAAAATGGTACTAAAAAGAACAGTTTACATGCCTGCACATAAGTGGTGTTTAAAGTGAGGTAAATAATTTGATAATTTTAAGCAACAGAAAATTTTGCCTTAGTTTTCACAACTTCCTAAGAGTGGGGTTTTTGTCTCATGCATGCTCTGCATTGGTTTTCCAGTGTGTGTGCGATTGCAAGACTTGATCCTGGAGGAGGTAAATGACACTTTTTATAGCATTTTCAGGATACTCATAAAAGCGCTGTATTTAAGATAGGCATAATTTATTGTTTTTATTACTGGTATTGTTGTTAGCGTCTAAAATTAAAGATGGATGACCTCAGCCCATAAAAAAATTTAAGCTCCTCAGAAATATCAGTGACTATCTTTTTTTGTTTTCTTTGTCCACAAAATCTAGAATTTCTGTCTTCATTCATGCAAGACATGTGGTAGGAGTATCTCCTACAATGCAAAGTAGTAGAAAAAGAGAATAAGACAAAAAATAGTTTGGTCCCCATTTTTTTCCAATACCTTTCTCCTTTTCCAGTAACATTTTCCTTTGTCCTTTCAGAACCACTTTTCCTTAAAAAAATCCCATCTTTCCATATACTCTTCCTTCTTAGCATGTGATTATGCAGCCTGGCTGTAGGGCATGACCAGTGAATCATAATAGCAAATGTCAACAAGAAAAGATCTCCGGTAGCCCATTAGCTGTTCAAGTTTGTATTTATTATTTACTGAATGACTGTGAATAATGAACAAATTGCTCTAAATCATTACAGATTTGTGGTTAAATCTCTATTAAAAAGGGGAAATCAGTTAAAGCAATTACATAATATCTTTGCAAGGAAAAAATTGCCTTCTTCTTGTCAATATTATATAGAGCAGATATAGCACCTGCTATAGGAATAGAGGTAATAAGTGCAAATCAGTTAGGGATGGAAAAAAATGGAAACTCTGAAAAGACAGAAAAATGAAAGAAATTCTCACAAAGTGCTTCCATGGAGCTATCTGCCCTAATCTCTGTGGGTTAGACTTACCTGAGCATCAGTGAGTTAGACAATGTTGGAGGTCACCCCAAGTTGTGCTTGTAGTTAATATTTAGAGGAGTAAATTAGCTTGGGTAAATCCCATTCCAGCTAAATAAGGATAATCTTTGGACTGCCATGACCAATTTGTACACAAGTTTGCTCTTTTTCTCAGAGGTTACTGGATCAGGTCAGTAGTGGCACTGATGCAAAAAAAGTGTGCAAGTTTGTCATGTAGGTTTGTCTTCCTAAAGGTAAATGGGAATTTTATAGCTATTATACAAATGGACAGAGGAATCACATATTGTACAATTGAATGAAAATATCTATTCCTAGGGCACAGATTGTGTAGCAAACAACAAAAGGAACCTATCTTAAAATAGAAGAGTATCTAAATGTTTTTCTGTTAGCTTTGTGGAGCACATGTGGTGACGCCTCTTCATGCATTTACTTGAGCAGTTCTCTAAGTCAGATTCCATTTTAGGGTAGTCTCAAAGATTGTGTAAGAGCAAATTGTGATTTTATGTTTCCTGCTTAAAGAAAATATGTGTTCTCAGGAGTCATACTATCAGACATTATCCAAAATCATACACCTGTTAACAAGTCATGCTCAGCATCGTATTTAATTAGCTCTAAGTTCTTTTTTTTCATTGCAGAGTCAAAGGCCTTCCAAATTAATGCTGCTATTTGAGTATTTCTAGGCAAGAGCCTATTAACGCTGAAATGTTTTTTACAAAAACATGCTATAGCTAAAGCTCACGGTGGAAGTTATTTGTAATATTCAATGACCTCATTTTATTTTGTTGTGCTCACTCGAAGCTAATGCATATGATGCCATGTGAAATTCTCAGACGAGCCTGTCTACAGGACTTATGGGAGCCATAAATGGATTAAACCTCTCACTCCCTGCTTTGGCAAGTGATCAGTTACATTTAAATAAAGGTCAGTCTGTCTTCACAAAGAACACACTGC